AAGTAATGGCTCAACTTCTTTGAAGCCATTACTAAGGCCAGCATTAATTTTTCCAGTGGTAGGTATCTTGTTTCTGCGTCGGCCAAAGTTTTACTTACATAATAAACAGCCTTTTGCTCCCATTTTTCCACTCGGATTAGCACTGCACTGATTGCGTGTTCTGAGACTGCTAAGTACAAAAGCAGTTCCTCCCCTGGTACTGGGTTGGAAAGAACCGGAGTTGTGGTCAAGTACTTTTTTAGGTCGGTTAAGGCGGCTTCACATTCTTCTGTCCATAGTAAGTCTGTGGCTTTTTTCACCAGGTTGAAGAAGGGTCTGCACTTATCTGAGCTTCTACTGATGAATCTGTTTAGGGCTGCGGCCCTTCCAGTAAGCATTTGAACTTGCTTTGCCGATATCGGGCTCTGTAGTTCCAGGATGGCCTTGATTTGGTCTGGGCTGCCTCAATGCCCTTTCTTGTTACCAGATACCCCAAAAATTTACCTGATCTAACTCCAAAGACGCACTTCGAGGTGTTGAGTCGGAGCCGATATCTTTTGAGTATGTCGAAGACCTCTTTTAGGTCGGCAAGATGACCCTTTGATTCCTTGGTCTTCACGACCATGTCGTGATGTAGACTTCTACTGTTTTGCCAATCAGGTGCTTAAACATCTTTGTCACTAACCTCTGATAGGTTGCTCCTGCGTTTTTCAACCCAAAAGGCATTACCTTGTAACAGTACAAGCCTTTAGGGGTGATGAACGCGGTCTTCTCCTCGTCTGGAGGGTACATAGCAATCTGGTGGTACCCTCTGTATGCATCTAGAAAACTCATCCTTTCATGTCCTGAAGTAGCATCTACCAGTTGGTCGATCTTGGGCAGAGGAAAGCTGTCTTTGGGGCAGGCTTTGTTAAGGCTGGTAAAGTCTACACAAACCCTTCATTTGCCATTCTTCTTTTTTACGACTACTGTGTTGGACAGCCATGTTGGGTACTGAACTTCTTGGATGGCCCTGGCCTCCAGGAGTTTGTCTATCTCTTCTTCTACTGCTTTGACGTGCATCAACGTCGGTCTTCTGGCTCGTTGAATCACAGGTTTTGCCGACCTGTCGACATTCAGTCTGCGGCAAGTGACCTCGGGGTCAATGCCAGGCATTTCGTAAGGTGTCCAGGCGAACACCTCTATGTTTGCCCTCAAAAAATCTTCCAGTTCTCTCTCTTCTTCTCTAGCTAAGCCTGAGCCGAGAAGAAAGAAGCGCTCTTCGTCGCCCTCTTGGACGAAAACTTTTTTTAGCGCCTCTTCGCTCTTTTCGGCTGGTTCTTTCCCGACGTCTTCTAGGACCTCCATGTCCTCATCTTCAACTTCTGCTTTCCTTGGCTCCCGTATACTACAGGTGGACTTCATTGCTGCCATGGAGCAATTTTTTGCTTGCAGTTGATCTCCTCTGACTTCTTCAATCCCATGCTCTGTTGGGAACCGTAGTAGTTGATGCAATGTTGAGGGAACTGCCCCCATTGCATGCAACCACGGCCTTCCCAAGATGATGTTGTATGGTGAGGGCGTGTCAATTACTAGAAATTCCGTTTTGATCTTCTTAGTGCCGGCTTGTACTTCCAAGCTTGTTGCGCCCAGTGGCCATGTCGGCGTTCCATTAAAGTCGACCATCGGGCCGCTGGATTGTTCTAAGTCATCAGGGTGAAGGCCCAGCTCCTTGTAACATCTGACATACATGATGTCACAAGAGCTGCCTTGATCTATTAGGATGCGTTTCACTTGGCACTCCCCAACCTGGAGGGATACTACCAAGGCATCATTATGCGGATGTTGGACCAATTCCAGGTCGGCTTCAGTAAAGGCTATGATCGGCCCTTGGCATTCGTTTGGCCGATGTCTCTTTTCTCCGACTTGGTAGACATGCTGTAAATGTCTTACCCTCTGGGTCTCCCCTCTGACTTCGTTTTCGTTGACCCTTCAGTGGATCACATTAACCATCCTCGGTCCTTCTGCTTGTGGTAGCTGTGCTGGGGGAGGCGGTGCTGCTGGTGCTTGAGGTAACCTTGCCTGTTCTTCCCTTGTCCTGGCTTCATCGACCAGGTCCCTCAGAAGGCCTTGTTTCACCAGGTCCTCCAAGTGTGCTTTCAAGGCTCTGCAACCTTTAGTTGGGTGCCCTTCTTCATTATGGTAGGCACAACGTCTACCAACGTTCCTTCCCATCAATTCCCCTGGTGCTCTTGCCGGAGCCCTGAAATAAGGTTGGTTTCGAATTTGATCTAGGACTTTATGGATTGGGATTCGGAATACCGTTGTTACCGCCTGTTTACTTCTCAACTCTGTTTCTTGTATGGTCGGCCCATTGTTGCCTCGGCCTCGCTTCGGCGAGCCGTTTCCCTTTTCTTGCTTTACCTCTTTATTTCCCGATGTGTCTTCTTCGGCTCTGGCGTACTTCTCAATTCTTGCCATGAGTTCTTCCATGCTTTTTGGCAATGTTTTTGCCAAAGACTTCCGTAGTGGGCAGTCATCTTTCAGGCCGTTCTTGAAGGACACGACCGCCACCTCTTGGTTGCAATCAGGTATTCGATTGAACACCTCATAGTACATTTTTGCATAGGCCATAAGGCCTTCGTCCTTGGCGATCTTTAAAGCCATCAGTGCGTCGACCCTCAAGGGTTGTAGTTTATTTGTTACAAACCTGGCCACAAACATCTCGGCCAGGCCTTCCCATGTCTTTATGCTTCCCTTTGGTAATTTATGGAACCAATCAGATGCAATTTCCCCAAAGGATGAGGGGAATACTTTACAGAGCAACGGCTCGTTCCCGCTATATAACGCCATTGAATTCAGGTATAGTCCAACATGAAAGTTTGGATCTGGCTTACCATCATAAATTTGAAACCTCGGCATACTGAATCTCTTTGGTGGTTCGAATTTGTTCAGTTCCACCGAGAAGGTTGTCTTCGGCTTTACTGGGAAGTTTACCTCGGCTTCAACATTCTGCTGTCTCCTTTTGAGGTAGTCCCTTAGGTCTTCTTTGCTCCTCCCTGGAGCTCGGCTGTCTATGGATTTTAGTCTTTTTGGTACACTGCTTTCGGCCTCGTGGTGGGCCCGTTTGGATCTTTCTTCATGGGTTGTGTCAAAATGGAGTACTTGCCCCTGAACATGTCGATGTTCTTTGGGGTCTGGATTCTTCATGTGGTGTGTCCTTCGGGACTCTTCTTGCCTCGGCTTTTCCCGTCTGACTTCCCTGGAAGGCCGGTGAGAATGCCTTCCGCTCCTGGTATGCAGAGGGACCTCGGGGATTGTTTTTCTTCCACCCTTCTGGGTGTTGGTCGCTGGCATCGGCGTATCTTGCAGCGGGTATGGTGGCTGCATAACATTATTCTGCATCATGAAGTTGACGACTGACTGAAGGTCCGCCAACTTGTTTGCTAGTTGGAAATGTTGAGTTAGCCGACATACCCGTTGTTGAGGAATTCCCCGACGTCTTTCCGTGTTTTGTATTTCATTTCATTCTTGTATTTAAGTTGTAAGACCTTAATAAGATGTATGTCATTTCATCGGACTTATGCACGGCTCTCATGGACTATTTAGATTCTGTATATGTATATATATTGCTTCCGCACTTGTAAGCCCCATATTTTATACTCTGATTGTGTGTGATTTTGAAAGTTGGCCTTCGGTAATTATGGATTACTGGCCATCACGGCACCAAACTACTAGGGGCGGTTTGGGGGCGTGACAAATATCTTCGGAGATGACCTCGGCTTCTCCGAGATTACCTCGGCCTAACTACCACGACACGTGGCACCTCGGCTGACACGTCGGCGTCACCATGCCACGTGTTGGTATTCAGAAAATATATCCCCACAATATCAAAGATATCAAAGTTGTCGCCATGTTTAACTTTTGAAAAAATAGAAATTAATTTAATAAAAATAAAAATAACCACTCATTACATGATTATCGTCCAAATATATATTAAAAATTAATTTGTTAAAAATAAATAAATAAATTTGTAAAAGATTTATCAATTTGATATAATTTTATCTTTGATAGATATAAATCATTTTTAAAAATTAAAAATTAATTTTTTGATATTTATTTTTATCAAATTAATCACTTTATTCTTAAAATTGAGTAATAAATTTTTAATTATTTTTATTTAAAATAAAATTAAAAATTAAAAATTAAATACATTATAATTAAAAAATCAAGAAATAAAATAACATAAACCTTAAACTATAAAAATCATTAATATAATTCGCTTTAAAAAAAAAAAAATTGTGTTCAACTTACAAGTACATTTAGATTTCGTCTGATAATTTTTTAATTTTTTAACTATTTTATTTTAACCTGTTAGTCTATTTCTCACATTTTCATTTGTCAGCATCGCCACCTTGTATTAGCACAGAGAAAGGGACACAAAATAACAACAACGTTAGGCAAAGTTTGGGAAGATCCAAAAAAGTTAAAAAGTCAAAAAGTTACTCAAAAAGTTAAAAAGTTAACACTATTCACCAAAAGTCAACAATTACGGCTGCACAACTCCCAATTCAAATTTTTCTCTACAAATCAATTTTTACAATTTTTTATTACACATTTTTCAATAAAAAGTCAAAAAGTTAACCCAAACATCCATATTTTCAACCTCAATTTTTTAGTCCAAAAAGACAAAAAGTGCACTTTTTTAGTCTTCCCAAACTTGGCCTAAATTTTTATCATTTATATCATTATTAATAATGTAAAAAATAAAAAGAAATAAAATTAAAATACAAAATACATGTGAGTTAGTGGGACTCACTGTCAATTAACCACTAATTCCAGAGAATAATATCAAAGCTCTCTCTCGAACTCGAACACACGAACACACGCTCTCACGAAAGTCCGCCATGAACAACCACCAACCGACGCCGCCAGGCCTGAACTCGCACACGACGGCGCAAGTTCTGAGACAGACGAGGTCGATCTTCTGGTCTCATCTTCTCACATTCATCTTCCTTTCCTTCCTCATCCTCACCTTCCACTCCAATGTCGAAAATGGCACTCACTTCCTCACCTCCTTCATCGACAAAGACCCCTCCATGCGATCCCTCCTCTCTCGCCTCGACATTCCCTCAAAACCCCCCTACGAAACCCCGCCCTTCCCACGGCGCCGCCGCCCCTTCCTCCACCTCACCCGCGTCGGAACCCTCGATGACGACTTCTTCTCCGGCGATGAGGATAACACTCGCTCCCTCTTCGGTTCCCACCCCAAAACCCCCTCCAATGGAAGCTTCCTGATTCTAAGTAACCCCAGGTTAGGGTTTTCGAATTACGTTACTGATAATGGAATTAGGGTTTCTCAAATTGTCCGCTTGCCTTTGTCTTTTCAATTCCCCGAGACTTCATTAAAAGAATCTATAGATGAGGATAATAATAGCAACGATGAGTTGAATAATGGTGAAGATGAGGCCGAAAGGGTTGTGGGTTTACAGTTTTTGATTAAGGGTTTGGAGCTACGGAGGAGCGATGCCTCGGCTTTATTCTTTCTTATATTTTTGTTGTCTGCTGCATATGGATATGTAATTCTAGGGTTTCTTGTTACCTATTCTTGGGTTCTTGGAATTGTGTTTGTTGTGGTTGTGAATCATTTCTTAGGGAGGTATTGTTCATGGATTGGGACGATATGGGATGGTTCGAGTTTGGGTATCAAAAGGCTTCCTGGGTTTATTCTTATGAGATGGGCAGTAAGGGATGCGCTTACGCAGATTCTGGGTCTGTGGTTTTTTGGTGAAATCGAAGATCAGTATTCGTTTTTTAAGATTTTCGTGAGGTTGAAGATGATGCCTTTCTCAATTGTGTCTCCGTGGATTCAGGGGTTTGAGAAGGAGACTGCAGGGTTTTTGGTTGCCTGGATTCTGTTGGACATGATTGTGGAATTTGTTTTTGCTGTGGATTCTTGGGTTGCAATTGTGGACTCAAGGAGGAGCGGGAGAGAGATTGTGAAGAAAGGGTGTTATTTGTTGTCAATGATGTTTAAGCAGGCTGTGATCATCAAGTGTTTGGAGTCTATGCTTTGTGGACCATTTACAAGATGGACATTGGCTCGATTTTTTGGGAAGTGGTTTGCAATGGCTTTCCAATCAATGATGGAAGTTTATTTCATGGTGGCTTGGCTGATATTTTACATTGCTGTGAGATCTAAGGATGCCGCTTCTCTTGGGAGGACTTTTGGGCAGAGAGATTTAGAAGGTTTTGTCCAGGGCCATAGATGATACTCAATGAAAATTGATTAGAGGTTACTTCCAGACTTCAATTCTAATGTGAAAATAGCGGTAATCCTTTGGTGCGTAGTGTGTTCTTTGTAGTCAATATGTGATTGACAGCTGCCATTCTTTTGTGATGTTCACCAGCAATTTACTTTGTGTACTTCATCACAAGGCAGCATATGACTTGTGTATACTTCCGCAACAATACCTTTTGTATATTGTGTTGCAATCTTGGTTCCCAAACAGCTCATGCCCTGTAGTAAATGTTTTTCTTTGCGATTATGATGCAAGGGAATGGTCATATTTTGCCTCATCTTTGGTATTGCTTTTTCTATTGAGGGCATAGAAATAGAGAACCAGACTCCCTTGTTACATGCCACATTGATGGCTTTTATAAAAACTGATAAGAAAATGAGTTTTGATAATTTTTATTATTTTGTGTGGTTGTACTTTAGGCATTCCGTTATTGCTGTTAATTATGATGTTAATGGCATAGAGTACATAGAAAATCAAAGTTTCATATGAGTGATGGCATATACTTCATAAAAACATATCAGCAACATTTTTTTTGATAATGTTATATTATTTCGTGTTGTAACTTTTGACATTCCCACTATTTCTGTCTTAGCCTTGCATTGTATAAGCTTCTCTAGGTGCATCTTGCTTTTATTTTGTGAGTTGCTTCTATACTATATGCAACATTTATGGTAAGGCATCCCCAACCCAACCCAAACACACATACAGAGAAAATGAATGGAAAAGACACTCCAAGCCACCCACCCACAGAGGAAAAAAAAAAGGAAAAAAGGACTTTAATGAGTGGTAAGAATGGAAAGTATATCAATATTATTGAAGACATTCCTTTGTGAGATGACTATGATGGTTTTGGGATTATTTGTTGATATGGCTTATAATTTGAGTTTGCATTAGGTTTGGACATGTATGATCGTTTGTAAATTGAATAGAAGTCGCTAATCAGCTGTGAAAACTCAAAAATTACAGCATTAGCAGCATGTTAAGAAATCCAACCACCAACATAGATATGTAATTTCTGACTACGCGAGGCATAAACGCCGTAAAATTGACTAAGCACTAGTGCACTATAAAACCACATGGTTTATGATGTGGTCGCCTCTGCATCTTTTCCTTATGTTATTCTTTTGGGTATTCCAAAATTGAGAAATCTTCTTATCATTTTTTGCTTTCCCTTCATAAGTATGCACTATAGGTCCCTTTATGAGTTAAAAGGTTTTTTTTTATCTTTTGTTTTCTCGGATGAGAGGACTGCCTTTTTTCTTTTTCTTTCTCTGGTTTTTTTTTTTTTTTTTTTTTTTTTTTTTTTTCTTCTCTTGTACTGTTCATAGACGATTTGTATAAGCCTGTGGAGTTTAGCATTTAGGCTTTGCTTTTTGCCTGTTCACCCCTTTTAAGGCGATTTTGATAAAGAATCTTTGCTTATTGAACGAAAAAAGAGGGGATGATTTAGGCTTTGTTTTGGTTTCCTCTACATTGTATAGGATCACACCCTTTTGGTACCTCTTTCCTTTTATTTTATTATTTTATTTTTTTATGGTAGTAATCAAAACAACCATAAAATATCCTAGATCCCAATTTATACAGCAATATGAATTTTATATGAATTTTCATCCGTGGAGTGTCTGAACAATTAGTGGATAGCAAAGTTTTCAAAGGCTTTGTTGAGGCCCGCTACACCTTGAGGCTAAGGTAAAAATGCATCAAGGCTTGTGCAGCTCAATTTAAGGCATGTACCTTAGGTGCGCCTTGTATGCCTTTTGCTCATAAGCTTATGAAGAGTATGCATTTGAAGAGGTTGCCTTAGAATCTTGTTAAACTTAATCTAGTGGATAGTTTAAACATCAAAAAGCAAAAAATAAAAAGTAACCTCTTTTGTGACTATATTCTATAGAAAAAAATTAAGTAAATGACCAATGAACATGAAATATAAAAATAATGCTCAAGTAAGAAGCTCAATCACTAAAGCTAAGAATGTCAATTTCACTTTCAATGAAGGCACACTCCATTTTTTGAAGTGAAATGGTTAATGCCTTACGGAGAAAAGTTTTTATATATTTATATTTAACTTTTATTTATTTTTTTCACTATTTTAATTACAAAATATTAAAATTTGAAATTTGAAATGCTTACACCTCATCTTGGGAGTGGTAAAATGCTTCGAGTTTTGCATTTTCCCTCAAAAAATTTGATGACTAGACAAATCTCATTCAAATAATCCTAGGGACAAACACAACCTTTAAGAATGTAAGAACTACACTCACACATCATACAAAAATTGCTTATTAGACCATTATTGAGAGGGAGATTTATAATCTGGCTTTGGGCCGTGGTAGAAGCCGGACAGAAGTTGGCCGAGCACGTTTGGGCCGAGCTAACTTGGGCCTATTTAGAGGTGGTTTTGCTCGGTCGAGGTCGAGGACCAAGTTGGGGCCGAGCTATTTGGGCTTGTCTGCGTCCAGAATCGGTCTTGCTCGGCCGAGGGTCAAGCCTCGTGTTTGGGCCGAGCTTACTTGGCCTAGATGGTCACCTGCCAACCCGGGTTCCACGGTTCGCACGTTTAAGGCTGTTAAAATCGGGATCCTACGTTGGACCATTGGAGGTGTTTATAGGATCGGATCGTAGAATCGGATCGAGGATCGTAAGATCCTACCGAAAAAGACAAATTACATAATAATTTAATTTAAATAAATATTTCTTATAAAGTATACACAAAATGAACCTATATTTTATTAAAAAGAAATGAAGATATTGTGAAAAATATAATACTCTATGTAAAATGTACATATAATATTATGCAATAGAAAACTCGATGGTAAAAGTTCTGTATTTTATCAAAAAAGAAGGTAAAGAAGAAGAAGAATTCTATAACAAAATACTTTACAATGTACAATAATGCATAAAAAGTGAAGAAAAAATATTTAACAAAATTGGATATGAAAATAGATTAAGAACTTAAAAGAGTAGCTTACTCGAATGATAATGTTTGTCGTTAGCATCCATAGTGGAGCGGATTCGAGTCACAAAATTAATTTCTCCAGAAATTGGGATAAAGTTGCAATCATCTTACCCTTCTTAGACTCCGCTAAAGCTAAGTTTGTTTTTCCGACTATTTAATTTTCTTAAATTACCGTAATATTTGAATGTTTGTTTCCGCAATATTTGAATGTTTGTTTCTTAGTTTGTTTTTCTTAGTCTATTTGATTCAATACTACTTAATTTTTATTATTTATTTTGACAGCATAAATTAGTATTTAGACAACAAACATAAAATTTACAACAAAATATGTCATACAATACAAAACAAGGCTTGTAAATAGGATCGGATAGGATTGGATTCGGATCGGGATTCCACGATCCTATAAGATCCCACTACTAGGATCGAAAGATCCTACCTATAAGGAGTTTTTTATACGATCCGGATCGATTGTACTCAAATGGATCGTAAGATCGTAGGATCGTAAGATCCAGATTGGGATTCTGATAACCATGCGTTTAGCTTGGCGAGAAGGTTTTCTGTTCGCCGGCTCGACCTGTCTGGAACTCGGCTCTACCGGAATGCTACTGAGCTCTGTTGTTATGGAGCTCGGCGAGAGGACACTGGGACTCGTTATGCAGCCCGATTATGTGAAGCCGAGGTGATGCCACCAGGCTGCCGAGTTCCCGGTAATGTTGTCCGGCGGTTTGGTTAGGTGGTGTTTGCTGGATTTGTGCTGACGGATGGGAGAGCAGCTCCACGTGTCAAGAGACTAATGGGTGCAGAGTTGAGCGCAGAAAGTATATAGGCATGACTGCGCCTCCCATGCTGAGGATGGAACATCATTTGGTAAAAACACTCATTGTGATTTATCTCTCCCTTCCTCTCTCTCTGAGTGTGTGTGCTAACTTGACCGTCGGAGGGGTTTTCCGGCCACACACCGCCGGGTAGCTCACCGCCGTTGTGTTCGCAAGTCGATCGGATAGACAAGGAGCTTGGACGAAAGGAGTACGGGCTCTGCGGAATATTTGATCGGGAAGGGTGTTGTTAGAGTGGGAGACCACAGTGAGTGCATCCAACCATGCCGTTCAGGCAGTCAGAGCCAGCGGCACACTCCCTCCCTTTCTATCACCAGAAGTTACAGGGTTGGAGATTCCGACGCTCCAGTAGAGAAGTCCAGTGCGCAAGATAGTACCTATCAACCCTCATGTCCGGCAACGATGTCGAGATATTCCTACTCCGCTCGCTCAGAGGACTTGCGGGTAGTCTTGAAGGAGCGGGCTTGCCGGCGAGAGACTCAAAGGGTGCCGGCGCTCCAGCGGCTATCTTATGGGGGTCACGCCAGTGAAGAGGTCATAATGCGACCACCCCGCCTAGCCATGCCTCTCCTTCTAGACACAGATTTAGCAAGGCTGAACGCCACCCCCTTCTCCCTTGAAATAGAAACCACACCGCTCCCCGCGGGCTTTCACCAGCCCAAGTTTACGCTCTACGACGGAAAGATCGATCCATACTTGCATGTAAGCCACTTTCGGCAGGTCATGGCTGGACATAGGCGCAATGACGCTCTTATGTGCCTTATCTTTCCGTCGAGTTTAGGCGAGCTGGGCTTGAAGTGGTTTGAGAGGCTGCTGGAGGGAAGCATCGAAAGGTGGCAGCAGTTGGCAGAAGCCTTCGTGACTCGTTTCAAGACCAACACTAAAATGCCAAAGGAGGTGGACCACCTTCTCAGTGTCAAAATGGAGTCGAACGACACACTCAAGGCATACAACTCCAGATACTGGAAAACTTTCAATGAGATTTTAGATTGCCCGATCAACCTAGCAATCATCCAATATAAACGCGGTCTTCTGGTCAGACATAGGCTGCGGGACTCACTTACCATGAACCAGCCGACATCCATGGGCCAACTAATGCAGCGCATCAATGAGCACATCTGAGTAGAGGATGATGCGGCGGCTTCCACCGCGAAGACAATTCCGGTGGTAACAGACAAGAGGTCGGCTGGCAAGGTACACGTGGTCGGACAGGAGACTAACCGTCCGAATGATCGCGCCGAGGAATCTG